GAATAAATTTAATAGTTCGTTGATCTTTGATGTGGAGACAATAGTAAAAATGTCGTCGACATATCTGAAGAACGGCAACGGGTTATCTAACAGTTGCAAACAATGAGTTTCGAGGTCATCCAACACCATATCAGCCAATATGGGAGATGGGGGGAGCCCATAGGAGTTCCAAAAACCTGGTCATAAAATTGTGAGTTAAAACAGAAGCTGGTGGAGGTCAAAATTAAATCTATGGCATGTGAAAATTGTTGTAATTAAGTTTAATTTAGTGTTGTTGGAAATCCAATTCCATCTACGTTCAATCGCTCTGAGAACTAACTCTTTCGGAATATTTGTGAATAAAGATGTTGCATCTAAGGACACAAGTGACTGGTCAGGACGGATTTTGATTCTGCTTAGCTTACAATAGAGAATGTGTTGAAAGTGTGTGTTTGCGTTCGGGCGATGAGCAAGCGCCGCGAAGCTTCGCGCCCAAATTCAATGGGTTGAATCACCGGGAATCGTCCAGCGTTGAGCGTCGGATGGGCGTAGCGAGTCTCCTAGAGAGAACTCTATAGCGCCGAAGAGAGAAATAATAATAAATGATTAGGTAACAACAGTTAGCTTTATTTCTTACACGACTCCACGCTCGGAGACGAGGGGCTCCAGTTAAAGAACGAAAATCTTGCGTCCCGAGATCAGCCTGGTTTCTAACGCGAGATCTTGACGAGCGTCTACTGTACGCTCATGCACGCTGGAAATCTTGAACGCGACGAGGTAATCCGCGAACAGACTTGAGACCGCGAACTCTGATCGGAACGGATGACAAGCATGGAGTCTGTACAAGGAGACCCAACTCCCGTATTCAGCGTGCGCCGACATTATCGAAAATTCGTGAAATTTCGCCAATTTTGGTGCTGGCGTCACCCGAGGGGGATGCTGGAGTTTATCGATCTTGATCTCACTGATTCCATGATACAGCGTATAACCGAAACTTACGAACTTGTATACAGGGTAGGCCATTTTAATCTACGCACTAAAATCTCTCAAAATCCATAATTTTAAGACAAAAATGTTTCAGACAAAAGTTGTTCAAGATAATGGGGGTCACCTATCTGTGTAACTAGCTTTGACCTTGAGACTACTTTTCAAGGTTATTTGAAGGTTAGAGTAGTTTTTTAAAACAGGAAACCCTATTTTTTATTACATATTCTCATAGCTTACCTCGAGAGCTTTCCAAAACGCTATAATAAAGTATTTTTTTATTAAGAACTTTTTGAGTTATTAATTATGTTAATTGAGTTATTAAGGTTTGAAAGTTCCAGCATTTTAACATAAATTACAAAATATCTTGTAAAATATTGTAAAATATAAGAACTGCTCTATGTAAAATATATTTTACTCTATGTAAAATATAAGAACTGCGAGCATTTCGAGCGCAGCTATCATAGCGAGAGGTGGAGTCACACATCGATCGATGAGAAACTATGGGAGCGGGGAGAGGGGAGCGAGGAGCGGCCAGCGGCGCGCGGATAGCTCTCGCTATCGGATCCTGAGACATGTCAACAAATACACCATTTTGCATGTCTGTCTAGTCCGGCCTTCTGCTCCTCCGTGCGCTTATTTGCTCAGACGTTTTTCTTAATTACACGACAATTATTACGAATTTTGCAAAATGGCATATAACTTCTTTTCTCAGTTTGATCCAATTTACTAGGGGTTCGTTTCCGCCCCCATGTGTATTGATAAAAAAATGTTTGTTTTGATTTGTACTTTCACCTCTCAAGCGTTGTAACATGAATTTATTCACACCCTGTATGTATAAAGGGTGTTACGAATAAGGTGTCCATCCGCTCGTATACAGATAGAACGGTTAAATAGAAAAGTACTACTATAATATTTTGTAAAATTTGTAATAATCATAGAGTAATTATAAATTAAAACGTTTGAGCGAATAAAGCGCGAGGAAAGCGGTAGGTCCGATTCGATAGGCATGTAAAATAGCTTATTTGTTGATCTCTTCTAGCAACCGTGAGCATCATCTGATAGTGAGAAGTGAAATGATGCGTGGTGTATAGCACGGCGCCGAAAAATTGTCAGGCAGCGAGCGATTGTTTACGCGTCTCATCGTCTCGCCAAGCGCTGCTTGACCATTTTTCCCGGCGTGGTATTATGTGTCACGCATTGTTCCATCTCTCGCTTTACATACCTACCGAGTCCGGCTTTCCTCGCGTTTATTCGTTCAGACGTTTAAATTAATTACTCGATATCTCTTCCGAACAAAACGGTACATTTCAGTTAAACTTTTCAATTTAATCCGCTCTACCTGTATACGAGCAGATGGATACCTTATCCATAAAACCCTGTAATATACACAGATAAATTTTTTGTGTCGGAGAAGATCTGCGTTCGGTATTGTAAATCTGGGATATCGGTATGCTCCCTTGAGTGAACGAGAGAAAAATGGGAGATAAAAAGAGGAAGAGCACTTCGACACTTAAGATTAGCTATGCTGAACGTAACAGATCACTATATAAAAATACATTCGTATACTTATTTTACTATTACGAGAGAATCCCGAAAGGATCGATTGTCCGTTTTTGATATTAACCTTGTGCCCACGATATTAGATTTCGGTTAGATTTCCGAGTTCTCAGTCCGAGAAATAGTGTAGCCAATCAACTTGAAAAATTATGGGAAAACAGCAATTGTATTAACTACACGGTTCTCGGACTGAGATCTCGATCCGAGATCTGTCACAAGGGTTATTTTACAAAACATATGTCACCGATCGCGCACACTCACAATCAGTCATAGTCTTTTGCCGCGCTAGTGACACTTGAGAAGATCTCACAATCAGTCCGTAATGCGACAAATGTATCAACTTGTAATTATTAAATCGACACAAGGGTCATGTTCGCTCTATTTTCGTGCACTCGGTATGTCGGTAACGTCAGTCACGTTAGCTGCGCCAGTGACGCTTGCGAGCGCCACGTGCGTCAGAAATATGAAAAGGACCTATCTCGCACCACTATCTGGTCGACCAGGACGACGACAACGACGACAACGACAAAGACGTTTCTTAAAGTGATAGAAAATATACAATTCAGACTTTGCATTGCAATATCTCCATTCATGGGGCACGTAGGAAAAAACTAAAAACTTTTATTATGCAAATCTAACTCAAGCTTTCGATTGAGCGTACTTAGAAGTTCATTGGATAACCGTTGTTGAGATCCAAAATTCTGAGGGCCTGTCAACTCGCGTAAACTACACGGTCGGTCTCGCGCGCGCGTTTCTAGCCAAGTTTTATACTTGGCGTGAGACACTACCGTGTCTCGTGATAGTCCAATTTCTTTGTACAATAGGACTTTCTATGTACCCGGCCAAGTATTTGACGACTCGTATTGCATACTACTCTGTAAATCTGAACATAGTAATTATAAATTATATTTTTGTCCTTTTTTTTCGAAACGATGTACTCGAGTTTACATTAATTGCGTTTTCAATTTCGACCAAAATATAGTTATGAATCTTTGCAAGTCATTAAAAAGTCACTTTGGTAAACCGAAACGTCTGACAATCGATTTATTATTTTGATTATTTGCAATTCAAATGCATGTATTGGGT